AGAGACATTTAAGTAGATTTTGGTATCCAAATTGCTTTGGATCCTTGAACATTAGTTTCAATGCCTCTTGTTCCTTTTGGAACCCATACTTGTCTAATTTTAAATTGTTTTCCTTTCTTTAAAGGACAAGTATGTTCCTTATGACCATGATAATGACAATGTGAACATATTGTCATTATTGAACTAGATGAATTATTTAGAATGATCTCTTTTTCTCTTGTTAAACATTCAAGTTTATCTTTCAAATTGAAATTTTCTTTTTCAATACTTTCAAATTTCATTTTTGAGAGTTCTAAATCCTTCTTCAAGATTTCATTTTGATTTTAAAAATCCATTTTCATTTCTAGAAGAAGTTTGTTTAATTTGAAAATTTCTTTTTCAAAGTTTTCAGATTTTATTTTTGAAAGCTCTAACTCCTTTCTCAACATTTCATTTTGATTTTCCAAGTCTGTTTTAGCTTTCAAAAGAAGATCATTTTAGCAATAAATTTAGAAATCAATTTATTGTATTTGGAGTTCATGGTCTCAAACTCCGAAAATAATTTATCATAAGCATCTTGTAACTCATTAAAAGTTTTGAATTTGATATATTGAGTTAGAATATACTTTGGCTCTGTGAGAGCTAATAGAGACATCACTTTTATTGGTTCTTCTTCTTCCTTATCTCTATAGATCTCCTCAAGCTTATCCCACATTTCCTTGGCACTTGAACAAGAAGAAACTCCTTTATATACATTAGGATCAATTGCACAACACAACATGTGCATAGCCTTTGAGTTTTGTTGAGCTTCCTTCCGTTCTTGAACACTCCACTTCTTTGCCTTCTTAGTAGGAGAGGAATATCATTTCTTGATTATCATCCAAGCTTCCATATCAAATGCTTTGATGAATATCATCATACACCTCTTCCAATGACGATAATTTGTTCCATTGAAGTGTGGAGGCACGTCAATAGGTCTGGATTCTTCCATGGAGAATGAACCAGAAGTAGAAGCCATCTTTATCGATTTAACTCTTCCCGGATCGACTCAAGAGGTGATTAAACCTTCAAATGAGTGAGGCTCTGATGCCAATTGTTGAGTTAATCAATTGACAGAATTGGCCAAGGGGGGGTGAATTGGCAATAAAAATTTTGGTGGAAGCTTTTGCAGAAAATTGAAAGAAATTGCACAGCGATTTAGAGTGGTTCGACTTTCTCAATCAAAGTCTACGTCCACTACCTTAGCTATCCACACTAAGGATTTTTCAACAAATTCACTAATTTGTTCTTTCTTTTGAGGCCAAAGAGATAACCTTACAACACCCTCAAGAATATACCCCAATTCTTGAGAACACTCTTTCCCAAAGAGAAGATTACAAATTTGCAAACTTATAAGGAAAACCTCACAAGGTAAGATGTTTGCACAATTCTAGAACAAGAAAAGAACACTCACAAATAATTACAAATGAGCACAAATGGTGTTCTTTGAAAGCAAAATGAATATTGGAAGGAAAATTGGCTTGATTTGCACAAACTTGGTGTTTGATGCTTTCTCTCTTGTTTCTCTATGATTTCTTATCTTTCAAAGGCTTCAGAACTTGTTTAAATACACCTTGAATCACTTCTGAACGTTGGGGATGATTAGTGAAGATCATATAGCCGTTTTAGTGTGAAAACAATTAATAAAACAGTTTGGAGCGTAGGGGGGATCGGTACCCCCTATGGGGAATCGGTTCCCTAAGTGTAAAATTCAAATATTTCGACCGTTATACAAGGGGGAATTGGTACCCCCTGGGGGGGAATCGGTTCCCTCCGAGCATACTGGAATTCTCGGAGCCAAACCATTCAGGGGGGAATCGATACCCCCTTGGGGGGAATCGGTTCCCTCTGAGCAATCTGGAATTTTTTGCTTTGAAATGGTTCGAAATAATTTGTAAAATTATTTTGAAATTGTTTTAAGATTAAAACTTAATTTTACACTTTGAGTAAGGATTAAAAATGATCTTTGAAAGATTTGGAGTAATGTTTTGATATTCGAATAATTCTATCGAATATACTTAGAAAACATTTGAAAAATCTTAAAATTCATTAAACTTAATTTGTTATATCGAAATATCAAAATGTTTTCAACAATATTAAAATTCTTTACTTAAATCCTGAGACTTTTAATTATTTCTAAATTGAGCATAAAACTTTCAAAATTTGCAATTTAGTCACTAACCCTGATTTGGGATATTACAAAAACCATCAGTCAAAAAGAAATTTTTAACTATTCATTTCCAAATCCAAGAGGCATGAACTGTCAATGAATTCCCAATCATACTTGAATTGGGATTCAAATTATACAAACAACACACCACTCTTTTCCATAAAGAAACCTTGTCTGTAGCAAATTCCCATATCCATTTCCCGAGAAGAGCCCAATCTCTTAGGCTTACACACCAAGTTCCAATTTACCCAATGAATTTCCTGTCGATATCCCCAAAGAAAGGATACAATAATTGAATTTAATTTGTTTACCACAGAACAAGGCATTCGAAAGATTGAAAGATAATAAATGGGCAGTGAACAAAACACTGATTTAACCAACACCACCCTTCCGGCCAACGATAGAGAATTTGCCTTTCACCCAGTCAACTTGTTATGAAATCTCTGTACGTCTAGCTCCCACAAAGCAATAGAATTCCTCTTGTTTCCCAAAGGTAAGCCTAAATACTCGGATGAAAAATATCCCACTGAACAACCAATTTCTTCAGCCCAAGAAATAATCTCCTCCTCCTCAACATTAATTCCAAATAATCTGCTCTTCACCAGATTTAACTTCAACCCTACCAATAACTCAAAAATTAACAACACTCTTCTTACATTCAACAGATCACGTATGGATGCTTTGCTAAAAATTATAAGATCATCCGCGAATTGCAAATGCGATAACATGAAAGACCGATCATTAACACATAGTTTCAGACCTGAAAACAACCCCTTATTCACTGCTTTAACTAACAACAAGTGTAACAATTCATCCCCAAATTAAACAACATAGGAGATAGCGAACATCCCTGTCTTAATCCTCTTGTAGTGTTAATTTTCTCTTTCGGTGTCCCATTCACTAGAACCGGAATAGAAGCTGTAGACATACATTGATAAATCCACGAACACCATTTATCACCAAACCCCATTTTGGCCATTATTTCATTAAGATCGACCAATCCACCAAGTCATAGGCTCTCTTAAAATCCACCTTAAAGACTGCCCCCTTTAATCATTTCTTCATCCAAAAATCAATTCCTTCATTTGCAATAAAAGAACAATCCAATATATGTCGCCCCAGAATGAAAGCAATTGTGACGGACTTATTACTTCATTGATGCACAAACTCAACCTTCTAACTTAGACCTTTGAAAGGATTTTATATAGTCCTCCAACGAGACTAATTGGCTTGAAATCTTTTAGTCCCTCCGGATTAGCCTTCTTAGGTATAAGAGATATGAAGGAATGGTTCACTTCCAAGTCCCACTCATTCCCCTCATAAAATTCCTTAAAAAATAGCATGATATTTCTTTTCATATTTTTCTCGAATTTCTTGAAAACCCCAAGATTCTACCCATCAGGGCCAGGTGCTTTATTGCTTTCTGAATGAGCAATTGTTGTCTAAATTTTCTCTTCAGAAAAAGGCTTCTCAAGATCCCTACAATGATCTGTCGAAAGTTTCAAAAAATCCAAGTCCAAATCCTCCACCTCTACCACTGAAGCTTTAATTAATCTAGGATCAGAGGTAAAATCATTATCCACCTTGAGGGTTCTAATACAATTCCTCCTCCCTCTAGCTCCAACACTTTGATGAAAGAATCTTATGTTTTTGTCACCTTCCGAGTTCCACTTCAATCTTGATTTTTGAAACCAAATAGATGCTTCTTTCTTGTAAAGGTCCCACAATTCTTTTTTGCTCGAAGAAGTGAATTCATTGACACCGAGTATAGTCCTTGTTGCATAGCAAATTCCTTCCCCTGAATTTGTTCCTCCAACCTACTGATTTTTCCTGGCAGCTCAAGATAACCCTTCCTTGACCATCTCTTTATCGCATCCTTCACCCCTTTTAGCACACCAAAAATGGACACCCTGTTTTATGCTTTCCAAAGATTAACCAACTCCCCCTCCATTATTTCAGCAAACCCATCTTCCTCCAAAACATAATTGAACTTCTTGAACGGTTTAAGGCCCCAATTATAGTTACTATGCTCCAACAGAATCAAATTATGATATGAGACAGACCTTAACTGTAGTATTTGATTTACCTTGGGAAATAAAGTTAGGAACCTCTGATCTACCAAGAAACGATCCAACCTAACATACGTCGGGACTTCCCTATTATTACACCATGTATATTGACCTCCAGACATAGGCAAATCAATCAAATTAGCTTTGCTCACAAAATCTCTGAAAATATTCATTGAAATCATATTTACAGGACCTCCATCATTTTCTTCATGTGACAAAACAACATTAAAATCTCCTCCTAAACATACTGGGCAATCAACATTTTCCAAAAATAATAATAACTCCTTAAAAAACACCTTTTTGTCTGCATCCACAGCAGGACCATAAACATTTATGAAACAACACATCCATGGACTCCCTTCTATAATCCCCTTAACTGCCACAAATCTCTTATGAATAAATTCTTCCTTCACAACAAAATCCTTCTCATTCCACAAGGTAATTAAACCACCAGCAAAACCTTCAGAATGTGATATTGCCGAAGCACACAGATTCCCCCCCCTCATTTTCCACTTTCGATTCTTGTAGAAATAAAATTATAGGATTTTTCTCATTAACAAACCTTCTTGTGGCGTGAGCTTTAACCCTCTCCTCTAAACCCCTAACATTCCATGATATGGACATTTTAAGGACTAAGTTGAAAGATATTATCAAATTCGAGGAGTAAAAGTTGTTTTATCCTTTGATTTATTTATTTAATTGTCGGCCTTCTACGAAGTCATACAAAAAAAAAAAATTGAAGTGGAGAAGCGAAGCAAGTTCTTCCAAAGTGAGCAAGATCTCTACCATGGCGCCCATAAAGATGATAGGCAAGTAAATCTGTCTGATTACGCTTACATATAACTCGATTCTCTTCTATATTCTCTCTTTCCATTAACAATCTCTCCATTTTGATTTCTCCAAAACACAGATATCGCCGTCAACTTCACAGGTAACGCTTTCACACATTTCAACGAATAGGTCATGCTCGATTTTTCTCTTTGGTTTCAATTCATTTTTCTCCCTTTATTTTCCGGTCTGGGTTTCTTATTCTTCACTTGGGTTATCGATTTTTGTTGCACATAGATGGCATGTTTAAAGGCATTTATAATAGCAAGCAACATCACGTTTCTGATATTGCTACTGTTTTGAGTAGAGCTTGGAATGCTGGCGTCGATCGAATTATCGTCAGTTACCCTTCCTCTTGTATTATCTTTGCATTTAACTCTATTATTTATTTATTATAATCGTTCAGTTTCATAGGAAGCTTTAGTTTTTTTTAGTGAACTCGTGGAATTGGATAAAATTTGAGTCCAAATTTCCTTTTCTTTATGGAATTACCGAATAATATGTTAATCTTGTGAGCCCTGGATGAAAGTATTTGCTTTGAAGCTTTTGGAAATAATTTTGACATAATATCAAAATTAGCTCTAACTTGCGACTTTGATTTCTATTTTTTTTAGTTTTGTCCCCAATGTTTCAACTTTCAATAAGATAATTTATGTCGGATAGAATGTTAGATGACTAACGGTAATGCATGTACTGACATGATATTTCTACATGTGCTTGATTAATGACGTAGTACATGTTACTTCATCACCTTAAATGACATTATACATATTATATCATCATCTTAGATGAAGTAATATATTTCAAATTATCATTTTGAGTGATATGACACATGTCATGTAATCACCTAAAATGACGTTAAGTGACAACACATACAACGTTATCACCTTGGGGCACATACCACATCATCACCTTAGGTGACGATATATGACACGTTAGTGATTTAACACATGGAGAAATGCCATAACAACAACAAGTTTTAACCGTTAGTCAACTAATGGTTTTCATCCAACATGGATCGTTTTGACCAAAAATTGAAACGTTGTGGGTTGAAGTGTTCCAGAAAAAAAGAATAAGAGCCAAAATAACCATTCGAACAAACGTTGGGAACTAATTTTGACATTATACCAGTTATTTTCAGCATATATAAAAGCATAATGAGTTCTAATTTTTGATATTGCTATGGATGCATAATTCATGTTAATAGGTTTGTTGTTATAGGTTACGGGCGGTTCCCTTGAGGAGTCAAAGGAAGCTCTTGCCATTGCAGAAACCGATGGTCTATTCATCGTTCTTTATTTATTGCCACATCTGCCTTGGCATTGCTCATGCTTTAGAATGTTTTCTTTTGGATATTATCTGAAGTTTGTTATTCATCACAGGGAGGCTTTTCTGCACAGTTGGTGTGCACCCGACTCGATGCAATGTTAGTTCGTTTCTTGAAATTTGTTGTCTTTAGTCCTTTTGTTTGATTTTTCTTCAACTTGGTCTCTTATGTTTTAATTAGGAGTTTGAAGAGAGTGGGGATCCTGAAAAGCATTTTCAAGATCTTTTGGCATTGGCTAAGGAGGGAATTCAAAGAGGAAAGGTACTTACTTTTTTTATCAGGCTTGTTGGGGTGAAATTAATTGGACTTGAACGAATAAGATTGTGTTGGTGTTCGTTTGTTATTTTTGAAGGTGTTCATGATCAGTTTGTGTTCTTTTAAATTTTTAATATCATATTTGTGTTCGTTTAATTATTTTGAAGTTGTTCTTATTCGGTTCATTTAAAGTTCGCGAATATGTTCGTTTAATGTTTAGCAACCAACACTCTCTTTTTACCCTTTTATTTGCAAACCAAAGAAAAATGGTGAAATTATGCCACAAGACTTTAAGCTCTTTAGCCTTTAGGTTTCACCGTCTGAACTCCAAAATTTACTATCTGTTCAATTAGTCTCTACCTTTACCGATATTTAAAATGCAAAAAATTATAAAGAAAAAAGAACCGAATAAATGAGCTCATAACCGAGTTGAAGGTAGAGAATAAACGAGCTTATTCATGAACATAAACGAGTTGAACACACCTCTGTTCGTCTTTGTTCGCTTATTAAAATAAACATAAAAATTTTGTTCATACTCATATTTAGCTTAATAAATGAATATAAACTAATGTTATATGAATGATTCACGAACAGTTCGTCGAACGCATTGTTTATTTACACCGTATAGGATTGTATTCTGTCTTACTATAGTTAGATACTGTGAATTTTGCCTTAATCTAGGTGGTTGCGATTGGTGAATGTGGATTGGACTACGACAGGCTTCACTTTTGCCCAGCAGAAACTCAAAAGAAGTAAGTGGTTACCATTTGTTAGGATTGTGTTCCTGTTCCTTATTATATATCGGGTTGTTTTTGTCTGCTTTGATGATCAAATATTTGCAACTTTTTTCATGCTAAAATCAGATATTTCGAGAAGCAGTTTGAATTAGCTTATGCAGCAAAACTGCCTATGTTTCTGCATATGCGTGCAGCTGCAGAAGATTTCTGCGAAATCGTGGAACGAAATATCAACAAGTTAGATTTCTGGATCTTTCTTACACCAGTCGAAATCGTTTTTATTTTTGTCTCTGATAACACACTTTATCTATGAAAAGCTGAGGTTTTCTGTCTTTTTTTCGCTTTAAAAAGGTTCTCGGGTGGGGTTACGCATTCATTTACCGGTACGGCCGAAGATCGTGAAAAGCTTCTCTCATTTCATAACATGTATATAGGTGAGAAGCTATTGGTGGTTATGGATATGTTGAGGTTCCTGGAAATGCTTAACAGTGTCTTTCAACTTTGGTTATTTAAAGGTATAAATGGATGCTCTCTGAAGATGGCTGAAAATCTTGATGTTGTGAGGGACATACTCGTCGATAGAATGATGATCGAGACCGATTCTCCATATTGTGAAATCAAGAGTACTCATGCAGGGATCAAGTTTGTTCAATCTTCCTGGCCTTCTAAGAAGAAAGAGAAGTATGATCAAGAAAGTCTTGTTAAAGGACGGAACGAACCTTGTTTAGTCCGGTGAGTGAAACTCCTCTTTCCGGTGCGGTGTCGTATCGTAACATCGAGGAATATAATGTTTTCTTTCATTTTATACTACATAGAAAATGGTCCTCGATGTTAATCAGTTCGTTTCTGTTTATCTTCTTTTTTTTTTTTGGGTGGTAATCGTTCTAGGCAAGTTCTCAAGGTCTTAGCTGGTTGTAAAGGAATCAGTGACATAGATCAGTTGAGTGCTACATTGTACCAGAACACCTGCAGGTACTTAAATTTGCAATCATCGGAATTTCCCGAATTTAACGGTGATTTCGGCAAAGTGCTTACATAGAGATCAAGTAATCTTTTGTTTCTTTGCCATCATCATCCTCATCTTTATAATTACTGAAAGACTTTCTGGGCTTTGCAGGGTTTTCTTCCCTCAAGACTTGGACGCTGCAGCGGATGCTCTTCTCACCGGCCGACATGAAAGTCGATGATACAGTTTCATGATTTTATGGGGTTTAATGTACTAAGATTTAGAGAGAACCAGAATCCTACGTATTTTAGGATTGCTAGCACATGGCATAGCTACTTTCGAGTTTACGACGGATCAACCGAAACGCCCCATTTATATAATCCGATCTGTAAACCCGTTTTCTTACGTATCGCTACGCTTTAAGCATCTTCCGACTTCTATCGACCGTACCAGGAAACGGCGAAGAAGAGCCGAGAATGAGGCAAGCAAAGCCTGTTATGCAACAAAATTCCTCTCCATTTGGTTGATGCTTCATCTTAGAACCAATAATTTATTGTTTCCAAATCTGATTCAAGCTGACCACCAAAATAACACAACTCGAATTTTTCGAACTCAAAATTGATTCGACCTTAAAATAGTTCATTAAAAAAGTTTTTCTACATATAATAATCCAAAATAAATACATTTTATATCGAACAAATTCACTCTATTCAAAACCAACTCGAACCACCCAATTAAAAGGTATAACCCGTCCCTCTGAATGGTCATACAAAGTCCAAACCACAATGACAAATCAAACATCTACAAATAAACAAATAAATAAAAATAAAAGAAATGGTATTACAAAATGTTTCAAATGCTCGATTCAACAATCATTTTAAATTTTACTTTTTTAAAGACTTCGATCTTAATGTTTAGTTTTAAAAGAAAATGATTGTTGATTAGACAAAAATTATTAGTTAATTAATTGTCAATATATATCGTTAGCTGTTACGTATTCAAAATGTCACGTGATATATATGTTGTGTATCATCTTCAACGCGTGACATGTATTAATAGTAATATATTTTTCTTTTAGGGTAAATTACTTTAAATATCATTCACCTTTAAGTTCAGACTCATTTATGCCACCAACGTTTTAATTTTATCAATTTTAGCCCTTACGTTTATGTTTAATTGCAATTATGTGACTCTGTGACATGACATCTCTATGCCGCGATGGTGATGATGTGTCCCCTCACCAAAATGACGCCGTTTTGGCGTAACTGTTTTGATGCTCAGAAAACCTGAAACACCATCGTTTTATTAGAGTCATTTGATGAATAATTGCTTTTCATGAGATTCTAATAAGTTCTTAAGTTAGTTTTGTGGTTGGGTGTCTAGTATTGGTTCATGAAGAACTTTGATTCGAATCTCATGAAAAAGCAAATTTTCATCAAATGACTCCAATAAAACGACTTCGTTTTGGGTTTTCTGAGCGTCAAAACCTTTACTCCAAAACGAAGTCGTTTTAGTGAAGGAGTCACATCATCACCATCGATACCATGTCATCGTGCCGTTAATGGATTAACGGCTGAGTGACATAATTGCAATTAAACATAAACATGAGGGCTAAAATTGATAAAATTAAAACGTCAGTGATATAAACGAACCCAAAATTAAAGATGAGTGGTATTTGAAATAGTTTACCATTTCTTTTAATATGTGACATATGTCGCCATATTTAATAACATGTATCATATTATTATTTTTATTTGTATGTGATATTAATTTATCATTTTTAACACCTAAAATAGAAGTGTCGAACAAATCAAAGGATTGCAAGAGGAAATGAGCATAGCATTAGCACACCTCACCATACACTGCGGATTGTGTTGAATTCATTCTTTCTTCTTTTGAGTTTTTGAGTGTCTTTAGGGTTCCAACATTGGCTTTGGGTTTCTGGGATTTCCTTCAAATTCAAGGATTCAACCTCCCAATAACGAATCCAAAACTAAAATTCCCACCTTTATGATGTTTCTCCGTTGAAGGTAGGATTCCGTTTGTTTCACTGAAAATATTTTTCCGGAAAATGTTTTTCGTAAATTGAATTATATTTTTTGGAAAAATTTGTCTAGAAAATGTTTTACGATATTTGTAAGATGTTGTTTAAACCCTTTTTCCACTAGTTGATGAATTTTTTAAAAATTATTTATTACAAATATTAAATACAATAAATAATATTATTTATCATAAAAATAATATTATTATTTTTAAAATATTAAAATAATTTATTTATTATTAAAATATTATTTTTATATTTTATTAATAAAAATAAAAATATTGGTATTTTATTGAAATAAAAATATTATAAATTATATAAATTATTTATTAAAGTAATAGTGTTATATATTTTAAAAATATTAATTAATATATTTAAATATATTTATTAAAATATTATTAGATTATTATATTAATATAAATATATAAATAATATTATTCATTATTAATAATTTAATAATATTTATATGAAATTAATAAATAATATGAAATTTATTAATAATTATTATATATTATTAAAATAAAAATATAATATCTTATATTATTATATATAATTGATTATTTTATTATAATATTAAAAATATAATATTATATTATTAGAAATATTAATAAATATTTTTAAATATTTAATAATTAATATTTGATTAAAATGATATTAAAATATTTTATTAATATTAAATTCATAAAATAAAATTATTTTGAGTATTTATTCTTTGAAATGAAAAGTTCGAAAAATGATTTATAAAAAATCAGACCGTAAATCATTTTTCAAAAAATACAAAGAAAATTATGTTGATAAGAAAAATGTTTTATATTTATCAACTACTTTTACTCCAACCAAATATTAAAAAATAAAAAAAATATTTTCCGAAAAATATTTTACATAAAACAAACTACCCGTATTCTTTTTTTCCCTTCCCCAATTCAAATTCCATAGTTTTTAGGGTTTCTTCCCTTTTCAACTATGCGTTTCCCCTTTTTTTTTCCCGAGTTTTTTCTTTTCTTTCGATTCTGGATTGTTGGTTTTTTTAGCTTCGTCTAGTTACTGCTTTAGAAATAGAATTTTATGGTTTCTTTTATTTTAAATTGTGTTGGAAAAAATATCTTTTTTTATGTTACATGTTTTGTTAATGTAGCTTTTGTTGTGGTTAATTTGTTTTTCTCCTGGTTAGGCCATGTCTGGGAAGAAAATCATAGCAATTTGTCAGTCTGCTGGTGACTTTGTCACCAATAAAGATGGTTCATTGTCCTACAATGGCGGCGAGGCCTATGCTATCGATGTCGATGAGCAAACCAAGTTAAGTGATTTCAAGTCTGAGATAGCAGATATATTTAATTTTAGTTCTGCTAACGTCTATCAAGTACTTCCTCCCCGGAAACAAGAAGACCCGCATTACCATCTCCAAGGACAAGGATTTGCAGCTCATGCTTAATTTTTTAGGCGAAACTTCGACGGTTGATGTTTTCATCATGTCAGAGGAAGCTGTTGCTCCTAACATTTCCATCATGCCTGCTAGTAGGTAGTTACTGTTTGTGTTTCTGAATTTACCGTCCAAGTGCGGCCCTCGCTATTATGGTTACATATGCTTAAATGCGCAGGTCTAGGAGGACGACTATCTCCGAAGTTGGGGTTCCTATTGTTGCTCCTGCTAGTGCTAATGTTGATGGGATGAACGATGGCATTGACCAAATTGATATGGACATGCCGGACGAAACTCCTTTGGACTGTATGCCCATTAATATGATTGATGGGAGGCATCTTAAAGCTGCTCAACTTTGGGAGAATACGATCACCGGCGTCGACCAAAGATTTAATAGTTTTAATGAATTCCGAGAAGCTTTGCATAAATATTCGATTGCACATGGTTTTGCTTATACGTATAAGAAAAACGACAACCACCGTGTTACTGTTAAATGCAAAGCTAAAGGCTGTCCCTGGAGGATATATGCATCGAGGCTGTCTACAACCTGGTTGATTTGCATCAAGAGAATGAACACAACACATACGTGTGAAGGAGCTTCCTTAAAAGCTGGGTACCGGGCGACGAGGGGTTGGGTGGGAAGTATTGTAAAGGAGAAATTGTAAGTTTCCCCCAACTACAAGCCAAAAGACATTGCCAATGACATCAAACGAGAATATGTAATCCAACTGAATTATTCTCAGGCGTGGCGGGCAAAAGAGATTGCCAGGGAACAGCTTCAAGGATCCTTTAAGGACGCATATAATCTTTTACCTTATTTCTGTGAGAAGATAAAAGAGACTAACGCGGGCAGTATTGTCACTTTTAATACCAAGGATGACTCAAGCTTCCATTGACTATTTGTCTCATTTCATGCCTCCATATCTGTTTTTTTACAAGGTTGCCGACTTCTATTTTTTCTTGACAGTACTACTTTGAATTCTAAATACCAAGGGATGTTGTCGGCTGCAACATCTGCAAATGCGGAGAATGGTATTTTTCCTGTAGCGTTTGCTGTAGTTGATGATGAGACTGAAGACAATTGGACTTGGTGATATGATCTCGATTATATGTTTCGAGTCATTTATGTGAATGCCCGATCGTGTTTCTAATAAGAAGCCTCATAATGATAGCTTGAACTCTGAAATTACATAAATATAAACATAAAAAGGAAATGATATGAAATAATAATTGAAATGATGAAATGAAAAGAACGAGGAAGTTGTTTGAAGGTGATGGAAGAGTGATGGTTGTTGTGGTTTAATGATAATGAAAATAGATGATGAAATATAAATGGCGTTGTCGTGGCAAATGGTGTTGTCGTGGTAAGTGTTGTAAGGTTAGCGGATTGTAACCCGTTAGCTATTTGGAGCTAAGAACCAACAATATAAAAAAATGGAATCGAAATGGTAGGGTATGAAACGTGACCCACTAGCTATATATGAGCTAGGAACCAACGCTATAACAAAAGGAAATGGATGAAGACTACAAGATTATCTTGGAGCCGATAAAGTTCTACAAGAGAACAAGAATGAAAGCAACCTCTCAAAGATGTTTTATATATTCAAATGTGTGTCTACAAATGATCCCAAAGGTGCTTATTTATAGTATTTCTATGAAGCATATGAAAAGACTCAAAGGATGAAAACATTCTCATCAATTTAGCAATAAAATGCACTTGAATGCTTTGTCTTCTTATCTTCAAAGTTGGATGAATATTCTAGATCATTTTTGGGATGAATCTAGACAATTTGAAGTTGAATTTGGCCTTAATTTCGTCCAAGGGGTGGAATACTTGATATTCCATGCTGAAAATTGTCTTGATAAGTGAATTAAATCACCCTTCATTGCATGCTCCCTTGAAGAATATGAACAACCCTTGAACTTAGATGATAACAATCAGCTTTGAATGCATTTAATGGGTGA